CAGAAACCAAGCCAGAGCATCATCTTCAGGGAATGTTGGGCACCTGTAGGAGAGCTCCCAACAAGGTATGACCACACCCAGGTAGGCCTCCACACTTAAGAATCTCATGCCCTGCCTTCTACATGCCAGGCACTGAGACACTGTCCCACCCTGATTTCCCAACATCCTCTAGCACTCCAGTGGCAAACCACTGGCTCCATGCAGGGGCCAGAATGCTCAAAGTCCTACAGCCCTACGGTCCCCCATTAGTCACCCATCCCAAGGTGCCAAAATGCCCCCAAGGAAAACGTCTGGGAGTGGGATTCCAGGTGAAACTCCCAAGAGGCAAGTTAACTGAAGAAGACTGGCAAAGGCCCCAGCAAACTGTACCCCCTGTAACTGAATCTCCAAGAGATGGACTGACACAGGGGCTGTAACACGGGGCTCAAACAAAGGGACAATTTGGGAGAGTGGCACAGGTGGCAGGGCTTCCTTCTGCTGAGCTGGAGGTGGATATGATGAGTCACAAGTGCCTAACCACAACACTTGAGAATCCTCTCGATCCTGAAGAGATGGGCTTGGGATCAAGATAACATCAATAAAATTCAGAGAGTGCAGATTTAAAAAGGCTATTACAAAAGATGAAAGAGAAGCATCAGAGGCGGGGGAGAGGGAAACCCTGTTGAACAGACTTAGGAATGCCAGAGCCCAACTCTACAGGCAGGTACAAATACATGCACACCAAGGGCATCCAGTCCACAGAGAGCACAGATGTGTCCCTAACAGTGGTTTCTGCTGGAAAGCGTGCCCCCGATCTGGTTGATAGTGTGCCTTGACCTGGTTGACAGCGTACCTACCCCCTGATCTGGTTGAGAGTGTGCTCTGGACCAGAGGGAGGAAGAGAGACCCAGTTCCCTCTCACCTCCACCTCTGCCCATGGCAAAAGGGGAGTAGAAAAAGGCACACACCTCTCAAGACCAGGTGAACTTTCCGAATTGAGACATGGGTCTCAGGGCACTGAGAGAACTTTCCGGTAGCCTGGGAGGTACCTGACAGCTCTAGAGAGACCCTTGCATGCTTCAATTCCAGAGCACCTGTAGACAGAGGATTGTCCCGTCCCCACCCAGACTGCCACAATCAGCTTCCATGGCAAGACTGTGCATCGGCTCAAGATTCATCAAGCAAACCCAATCAATGGCTCAACCAGGAAGAAGGGGGATGCAGGGTTAAGTTAATGCCATGTCCACACTGGAACCAATGCCTCAAAGAGCCCCCGGACCAGGCCCAGGGAGTGTTGGGCTACAACAGAAAGTCGGTGGTTCGAGGGCCCTGAGCCAGTCCTCAGGAGAAAACAAGCTGTCCGCTCCCAGAAAGATTCACAGCTTTGGAAGCCCCATGGGGCAATTCTACTCGATGTCTGGTCTGCTGGGCTACTAACTGCAAGTTCAGCAGTTCAATACCACAGCCAGTTCTGCAGGAGAAAGACAAGCCTTTCTACTCTGGTCAAGAGTTACAGTCTCGAAAACTCACAGGGGCATTCTACCCTGGGCTATCCACTCACCGGGTGGCAGAACTGACTCAATCGCAGTGAGAAATGGGGGGCTGGGTGGGAGGCTGGGTCTCCTCTGTGATGTACAGGGTCCCTATGAGTTGGAATCGATACCAGCTAACAAAGAACAAGTCCAGACACTGGATCTAGATTTGGTAGGTCATTGCTTATACAACAGCCAAATCAGCGGACTAGAAAAAAGCCACCCAACACCAAACTCAATGCCAATCGAATTGACTCTAACTCATAGCAATTTATGGAGCAGAGTAGACCTCCCTCTGTCCCCTGTGGGTTTCCCAGATTAGACAGCCTCATCTGTCTCTCTTGGACAGCTGGTCAATTCGAACCACTGACCATGTGGTCAGCAGCTGCGTGCACAGCTCTGCACTTCACCAGGAGGCTCTTGCATGCACCTCTTAACCC